TCTTAGTTCAACTATTTACTCATCTGCCTTCTTAGTGGTTACGCTCCATTGACATGTACTGGTAGTACTTACTGAAGTTCCTCTTCTCTTTGTCTATTTTAACAATTTCAGCTTGGATTTCTGTCTCTTTAGTTCCATTGATACTGCTGTAACAAAAGTTTCAGGTGACTCTAACCACCACCTTCATTTTTGTCCTCATCCTTTCTCGAAGTGTTTTCTTTGATTGCTGCTGTCTTATATTCATTCTCTTTTTTTTAACTCTTCAGTTTCCTGTGAGAACTTTCTGGTGCCCTTCCTTTCTTCCTCTGTGCCTTATCTTTAGGTCATTTAATTTTGACACACAAACCAACTGCTGTCTATGATCATGTTTTACTGATCCACCTTTAACTTCATACCTGATTGGTTCCGTCTAAAATGAAAATTTTGGCCAGACCTTTTGATTCTTCTCATGAACACCACTGTCCAGCCAGGTTCAAAATGGCTAAAGCAGAATTTTTAATCTCGCTATTCCGCTCAGTTTTCCTTATTACCTTGTTTCTTAATGACTATGGGTAAAGAGCCTGTAGCTTAAGTTCATAATGGGAATTACTTCTTTGTTTGGACCTCTGTGGATCTTCATTCTAACTAAATCAAGCAGATTATGTCTAAATAGCATTTTTAAAATACAGCCTCTCTGTTGGCCAGCATTGCTGAAACACTTTGAAGTTACATGTCTCAATAACTGCAGCATCTTTCTCTGGCCTTGACAAATGTGAATTTGGCCCCTTCATGCGTGTTAAGGAGCGCAGCTGAAGGATTACTTTCTTAGCCTGGCACTTACGGTGTAGCCCAATTGTTTGCATCCTTTCACTGAAAGTAAAAGCAGTTTGTCTGAAGTGATACAGAAAAGAGGAAAAAGTGCTTTATGATTTGCCTATACTATATCTTATTGCTACTTGGGTACTACAGAAACGTGACTCCCATTTCTCATTGTCCATTACTGCCTATTTTTTTTAACAAGATACTTGAATAAGCCCACACATGCTCTCTCCAGTGATGCCGTGCATGCCTGGGATGAATTGCCCATAAACATCTACTTGACAGCATCTTTGCTTTCTTTCAGACTTCCCGTTTGGCTGCTGGATTTCTTTTTGTTTTTTTTTGTTTTGTTTTGTTTTGGATTTTGTGATGACTCCAAAAGCTGTTTATGTGGTTATTTTCTGGAATGCAGACCTGTATATTTCACCATTTATTCCCTCATCTCTACATCACTTTATACTTAGATTGTAAGCTCTTTGAGGGCAGGATAGTCTTAAATTTCCAATGGTACATTCCTATTGGTACAGTGGGTCATAGACTGGGGATTCCATATGCTAAGCTAATAAAAATAACTAATTATTACTTTTTTTTTTAAATACAGTTCATAGAGGGGCCATTTGAAGAGTATTTAAAATGTTTGGAAAATCCACAGGTATGTTAAACATGATTTTATAATAGAAAGCAGTACTTTTTTTGAAGTTGATGGGTACTCGGATTTTTTTTTTTCTCACAAACGTTTTTCACTGAGCTTAAGAGGTCTTTTTGATGATGTGAATGTATACTTTTATGCGTGTACTCTCTATTGTAAAATGATTTGGGAAATTTTTTTTTGTGTCTTGACTTAAACCTGTTATTCCTCAAAATTGTATCCAAACATTTCTAGCCTCGGCAAATGCCAAGAAACATAGCGTGGCTAGCTTCTTCTTGAAGACAGCCTTGAATAAAGGTCCAAAAGTTTAGGTGATGAAAAGACAGTTACTCATGTAAGGGATATTCTGAACAGTAGCCATAGGTGCTTACGAAGGTACTGATTTGAAGCAAATTCCCCCCCCCCCTTTTAGTTTTAGTATTTTTATTAGGGAGTTAACAATTTGTGTAAGCTGGGGGGAAGGACTATCTAGTACAACATTGCAAAATCTGTTAATTTTTTTTAAGTGCTTGTACATAAATTTTACTAAATTTTCCCCTCCTAGAAATCAAAGCGTGTTTTTTTATTTTATTTTTTTTCCTGCTGCCATGCCTACAGCATCCCTAGTTAGAATGGCTAACCAGATGGTTCTTTATTTCAGTTTCCAAAATGAATGGTGGAAGGAGGAAAAAAGTGGGTGTTAGCCTATTCTGCTTCTGTCTTGCTTTGTTTATTCCAGGATCTTTAATCGCAAAGCTTTGTTAGTCAGATCCTGAGGTTGTATGCTATGCTAAATGGTAAATCATGCCATTTTCCAGTAGAACTTATTCCGCGCTGAACTGCGCCAGTGTGAATGGTTTACAGCACTGCACTGTGTGTATAGAAAATGTCTTTTTCATACTTGTCTACTAATGTTTTAAAAAATCTTTTTGAAAAATAAAAGATACGATAGCTTTTTTACATGATCAGAGAAATTAATAGTAAGTTATACTAGATTTGAAAATTGTCATGAGAATTTAAAAAATGATTAAAAAAAATAGAACTGCTACAAATGCCTGCCCCAAACTTAATTTCAGTAATTTTTAATTTAGTAAGAATTTAAAAAAGAAAAAAAAAATCTAGTCACATCATACTGGAGCACAGTACAGCGGTTAGGCTGGTAATGGAAGAAACAACTTTTCTACGATTTGAGTCTGGGTTACGGTGTTACTGACATTTCACTGTTTAACAGTTTTAAAGGGCAGATTTTTGGTCTTTCTTCAGGTATTGATATACAGCTGCTTGCATGAGAAATGCAACTAACTATCACAAGTTTATTTTGGCTGTTTGGAAGTGGCCTGTCTACTTCGTGTTGGAGCACTTCACAAGACCATGTCAGGGTATTTGTATGGAAGTTACCTGTGTTTTAGGCCATGAGAGTTAAGCCTCAAGGTTCTTTTTCCTGTTCATCTATAGCTAAAAGCCCACAAAACCAGACAGTTTTGAAGGTAGAGAGTAGCATTTTTAAAAGCACTTGATAAATCTGACGCTTTTTTCAAAAATCACTTTTGAAAAGCTAGACTGCTGGTTGTTTAAGTTTAACAAAAGAAAAAAATAAAAACACTATCACCTTTCAAAAATCACACTCTTTAATGATAGATCTGCATTTATGTGATTGTTTTTAGTTCTCTCAGTTTTCATAGAGATCAGTTTCTACGCTGGGAAAAAAAATCCCTCTAGCTTGTACCCCTTAACCTTACTGGAATAGTTATTGTTATTTCAAAAAAAACCTTCAAATACCATCAAAGTGTCTCAGCTGAACTCCAGACTCAGTGGTGATATATTTTCTGGTTTTTGACAATGATTTCTTGCTTCTTTTGATCTACAGACGAGGAAGTACAATAATTGTGTGTTTGATTGAACTTAATTTTCTTTTGTGTTTTTCAATACAGGAATGGGTTGGACAAGTAGAAATAAGTGCCCTTTCTCTTATGTACAAGTAAGAAAACCTTTAAACGTGGTTTATTGAGATCAGTTGTTTTGTTAGTTATCAGTTGGAATGGTAAAGATGGACTTGTATGCTATATCATAGTTCTCCAGAAAATTACAAATATGCTTTGAAAACTGCAGCTGTCAAGATATTAAATAAAAATAGAAAAGTGATCTTTGAAAATGACATTTTATCTGGGATGTGAATACAGGTTTGCAATAATGTCACGCATCCTACCTCCACATCTAATTGTGGGCAGAGTCATACAGTTTGTATTTTGTTAATTTTCATCTCTAATTTTTCTGTTAAAATTGCTTTTCTTCCCATTTCTCACCAAGGCTTTAATATTAACCCTATTGCTAAGCTGTGGGCTGTACCCCTTTCTTGATTACCTCTGTACAAATGCTCTGATGTAGCTTAGTGATATGAGTATTGTATGCTAGAAAGCCGTTCTCACACCTCCCTTGGTATGAAGTTGTATGTACTGGTATAAGACTATCTGGTGTACTGCTGTAGCTTATTCTCTTTTCTGTATACATTTTCCTTTTTCCACTGTGTGAGTATAGATGGCATAGTTATGAGTTTGTCAAGGGCCATAGCTTGAGCTATGCTTAAGAAATGTTTTGTTATTTGTGCCTAAACAAACACTCCTCTTGGTGATGAACAGTTTTGCAGATGCGTTTTTATTAACTATAATCCTATATATTAAGCTTTCTTCACAAAGGATTATGAACCAATATGCTGAATGTTTATAACTGCTTTCTAATTACTGTGTAAGGGAATGAGCAATGTACAGCATCTTCTCTTTCTGCTGTTTGTAAACCAGTTAAATTCAGTATTTCAAAATGCTTACTGTAAATTAATGACGTTCTTTGTACTTTGACTCTTGATGACACAGTTGATAAGAGGAAAGAGACAAACTAGTTAAATTATTTTCAGGTACTTAGATGAGTGCTAAGTGTGGGAAATTGCATGAAATTCTATCTTTGCATTTTATGTGGTTAATGGGACAGTTTAGAGTTGCATGTGCTGCATGGGTGGAAGAGGACTGAACTGAAAGTCAGAGTAAGGTTTGGCTCAAGAGACTTAGAGACAAGTCTAAGGTCTTGAGAGACAAGGTCTGATGGTTAGATTGAGCCAGGGTGTAGAGGGATGTAACTCAATTTAAGCCAACAAAATTGCATGCCTGATTGGAACTGGATGGTGATGATCTTCTGTTTGTTGTATTTCTGGCCATGAGAAATGTATTCTCATGAAATAGAAGCAGTTTATTTTGAAGTCATGATACATTGGTATCCAGGACCACAGCTGATAAATGAATACGGAGACAAATCCTGGTTGATAATAGTATTTTCTTAATTTCCCTTGGAAGTGTGAGGAGTTTTGTGGCATAATTGCAACTGTATGTAGTATTTCACTGCAGAGTTGAACACACAACAATTGTTACTGCCATACTTGTTTTGAGAAGACTGGCTTCCATTAAAAAGGCAATTTAGAGACTCTGGG